TAGATCATCTGTCCATTGCTGTGAGTGGGCTGTAAAAGTCCCCTACGATTAACATGTTATTACAAATGTGTTTCTTTAATTTTATTATTAATTGGTTTATATAATTGCTCTCAAGTTAGAAGCATATGTATTTATAATTGTTAGATCTTGTTGGATAGACCCTTTAAGTATGATATAGCGTCCCTCTTCATCCCTTACTACAGTCTCTGGTTTAAAATCCAATTTGTGTTATAGAAGGATTGCTACACCAGCTTTCTTTTGATGGCCAGTAGCATGAGAAATGGTTCTCCACCCCCTCACTTTCAGTCTGCAGGTGTGGTGTCATTGGGTCTAAAATGAGTCTTTCATAGGCAGCATATAGATGAGTGGTTTTTTTTTTTAATCCATTCTGATACCCTATGTCTTTTGATTAATGCATTTAGTCCATTTACATTCAGAGTGATTATTGAGAGAGATGAATTTAGACCCATTGTGTGACCTGTAGAGTTGGTGTTTCTGTTGATAATCTGTGTTCCTTTCTAGTCTTTGTTGCTTTCGGTCTTTTTGTCTCCAGAGAATTTCTTGCAGGGCTGGGTTACTGGTCACGGACTCTTTTAGTTTTTGTCTGTCTGGAAAACTATCACTCCTCCTATTCTGAATGACAGCCTTGCTGAATAAGGAATTCTTGGATGAATATTTTTCCCGTTCAGCATGTTGAATATATCCTTCCAGTCCATTCTGGCCTGCCAGTTCTCTGGACAGATCTGCTGTGAACCTGATCTGTCTTCCCTTGTAGGCTAAGGACCTATTTTCTCTTGCTGATTTCAGGATTCTTTTCTTGTCTGCATATTTTGTGAATTTAACTGTGATAGGCTTTGATGATGGACGGGTTTTGAATTTAATGGGAGTTCTCTGTGCTTCTTGGATTTTGATGTCTGTGTTCTTCCCCAGATTAGGGAAGTTTTCAGCTATAGTTTGTTCAGATAAGCCTTCTGCCCCTTTATCTTTCTCTTCATCTTCCAGGACTACTATGATACAAATGTTATTACGTTTTAATAGGTCACTGAGTTCCCTAAGTCTGCCTTCATGGTCCATTACCTTTCTTTCCCTCTTCTTTTCAGCTTCATTATTTTCCATAATGATATCTTCTATATCACTGATTGCTCCTCTGGTTTATCCATCCTCATTTTTATGGCCTGCATTTGTGTTTGCAACTCGGTTATAGCATTTTTAATTTTGGCCTGACCAGATTTTAGTTCTCTTGTCTCTGCAGTAAGGGATTCTCTGTTGTCTTCTATGCTTTCTTCAAGCCCAGCTAGTATCCTTATAATCATTGTTTTAAATTCTAGTTCAGACATCTTACTTATATCTATATTGATTAAATCCCTAGCTGTGAGTTCTACCTCGTGTTCTTCCTTTTGGGGTCATTGTCATTTTATCCAGAAAAAAATGAAGAAAGAGAAAAAAGAAGAAAAAAAACACAAAGCAAAAAACAAAGAAAAAGAAAAAATAGGAAAACAAAAACAAAAAAGCAAGGAAAAAAAAACTAGATCCTTGGGTGTGTTTTGTTCTGCTTGTTAAAAGAATCTAGAACCCAAAATAAAAAAATGAAATGAAAGTATGCAAAAAAATTATATGTATTTAAAATATATAAATAAGAATAATAAAAAATAAAAGGACTTGGAAAATATAAAAAAATAAAGAATGTAGAAAGGAAGCTCAATTCTATTTCCCTAGAGTTGAAGCTTTGCAGCACTCTATGTAATCAATAAATTTGGTGGGACCTAGTTGTCTGTGCCATCTTCTGGGGGAGGGGCCTGCTGCACTGATTCTCAGGCTGTCTTGTTTCAGTGGAAATGCCTCTCCAGGATGCAGTGTGGGCAGGGCTGCTGTACCAGCTTCCAGGCTCCAGCCTCCATTTTGTGTCCCTCCTTTGCTCCCTGAAGGCTTTCAGCACTGATGGGACAGATGAAGATGGCTGCTTCCTGCTCTCTAGCCTGGGAGCTAAAAGTTCAGCCCCCCAGCTCTTCAGCGAACCCTCCCAGAAGAGAAATCAACTGGCCTATTTGTGACCTTGGTTTCCATCTGATCGCTGCGTTCACACTGCCCATGGCCGAGCCTTTTTATCTGAGGCGTGTGACTGAGTTTTGAAAAGTCCAAATTTCAGGTACTCCCATGCCGTGGACCCACACTGTTCCTGGGGGAAGGGGTGTGTGAAAAATTATGAAAGGTTGGATTTGAAAGGTTTTCCTATTATAGTATTAATTTGAAAGATACATTTGCTTTGGTTTTATACTTCCTTCATATCTAATTGCCTGTGCTTTCCAATTAGTGTGTTGCTAGAAAGTAAGAGGCAAGAAAGCAAGATGATTTTGGTTATGTTAACTTGTAAACTTTTATCTCCTTAGTACCTGGAATAGCCTGGCCCATAACTGGTGTTGGGATTCAAGGCAGCTTACTTAATAACATCATTTTTCCAGATTGCAGTTCTGAAAGGGAAGGAAAGACGGGTGAATGGGTATAGATACCAGTCATTTTTATTGGCAGATTTGTTGGAGAACATGGTTTTGGTATGGAGAAAACAAATGTTGCACCCCAGAACTAAGCAGCTGTGTCCAAATAGCCTGGAGAGGGCTGGGAAATCTTAATGGTTAGCAATGCTCTAAAAATATCAAGGTGATACTGCGGATGAGGAAGGGCTTCTTCCTAGTGACTCTTTAAGGGATTTGGAGGGAGGGGCTAAGCTGTGTAATCACCCATCCTGAAGTCACCAAAGTCACCATCCTAAAGTCACTCTTCCTGCTTGGATGGGAAGTTGTTCAATACAGTGTTGTGTGAATAAATAGCTTGGAACCATTCATTCTAAAGTTTGCTTGTATGGCTATGTTATTAAATATACATTTAATTTCTCTTTCAGGTGACAGTTTCTATTGACTACACACTAGAGCCCATTTTGAAATGTTTGCTTTGACTGCTTTCTTGTAGTGTGAGTCCTTTTTAGTCCTCAGCACAGTCTCTGTGCCACTAGTTAAATTATTGCTGATTCATCTGTGTGTTACACTTACACACAAATCTTCTCTAAATCCATCTCTTGTGATAGTTGAGGAAGAGTTCACTTGGTTCTAAGATTACCGGTCACAGTTGGTTCCCCTGAAGATTTTGTAGGCATTCTTCATGATCACATTTTATTCACCGAATATCATCTCATATCTCACTTGAGCATTTATAACGATCCTCCAATCATTCATCTTTGATTTACAGCCTCTTTGGGGGGCACTCTTATTTTGTATTGCTTTATATACGTTTATCCAAACTGTGTTTTCCACAAACTCACAAATTTATTTTTGTACGTTTTAGTACTTCTTTATTGAATTCATGAAATTATTTTTTGTCATATCATGTCCTTTGTAATCTTTAGCAGTAACATGAATTTTATAGGGCTTGTTTTTCACAGCTTTCAATGTTTTTTACTTAATCCTTTTCTCTTTTGCTCATTTTAAGCCTGTCAGCAACATTAATGAGTGACTTTTCAGCAGTGTCTCTTTTCCCTTCTTGTACCTCCCAATGTGGTCTCTTTTAAATGGCTTTTATTTTATTTTTGGAAGTTTTGGAGCTTTGCCAAGTCATTTTTCCTTCTTCCTTTGTAATTTCTTTCATCCTTATAATTCTGCTTTGACGTCCTCTCTTTAAGGTTTTTAATGATTTGTTATTTATCCATTACTAAAATTATTGGATGATTTTTAAATGCTTTGCTCCAAGGCAAAGGATTCTTTGAATATTAATACTCAGTTACTTTTGCACTCCTACCTCTTCCTTTTTATAATAGTTACTGTGCTATTTTTTTTCCCATGCATTTTCATTGAGTTGAATTCACCTTAAACCCCATGAATTCATGTTTGTAGTTTGCAGAGAAATACATGCAGGGTCATGCTATAGCAGCACCTCTTCCTGACTCAAAACCGGACATTTGGAAAGTTTGTGGAACCTAGGTGGCATTTTCCATAATCTAAGAAATACCAGCTACTGAGAAGCTGCTTTTTATTTACGGTTTTGATCCACTCATGACCTTCTTTGATGCCTACCACTTGGAAACATGGACAAAACACAGTGATACCTAGGTAAAGTCTTCCTTAACTCATAGGACTTTCTTGTTTTATATGTTTAGGGATTCCCTGGATATCCCTATATTTCCTTTGAAGAAAAATTCTAAAGGTAAAACATAACTTTACATTTCAATCTAAATTTGCCTCGAAGGCAAAACCTAACATAATCCCATGGCCGGTGCGATACTAGTTTCCCTAGATTTTCCTTCTGCTTGGATTCTCCCATATGTTCTGGATAACTCAGTTGGTAAACCATATTTACAGAATATGGTGTCCTGGATATTGGCTACCTTTCCCCAGTTATCAGATCCCTGTATTAATATATGGTTTCTCTTTCAGATCTGAATCAAAGCTCTGTCCTCTCCACTGAGAGGCTCATAGGGAAATAAGAGGATACAGTGCCCAGAATCCAGCTGTCACCTCTGCAGACATTTAAACAACTCTCCAGTTCCTCAGACCCCGCAGCTCACCCAAGAAGGCAAAAGATTTTGATTTCTTCATCACAGTACATGTATACAGTGGGCAGAGAGCAAAGCTTGGTAATCACCTTGGCACTGCCTGGCTCTGTGATGCTGAGGACATTCTCATTTCTGTGCATTACAGAAGAGATTCAGATTTCCAGGTATGGACCAATGTCCAGGGGAGGGGTGTTCTCACTATTCTGAAGGGCAAGTATCTCAAAGCTCAGGGAAGAGGCAGGTGTCAGAGGGGTATAGAGCCATACGGCCTAGTCCAAGTGCCCTAAAAGAAAAAATACTGGAATAAGGGCTGAGGGCACAGTTGGAGCAGGTATCCACCCACTTTCTGGCCTTGTAGCCATGGAGGAGGACAGCAAGGGGCCAGAGGTAAAACTGTGGGCTCTCATCAGCTTTGGAGATGAATGTCAGTTTTCTTCCTCTGCAGAGTTTGTAAGCTTTGGAAGATGCTAGTTGAGCATTCTGCACTATGGAGACATGTACCTGACACCTTACAGGGTATGTATGTATGGACTCTATTTGGGAAAGTGCTTGAGGGTATCTGCTTTATATGGATGGCAGTTCTTACACAGAACCCATCCTCGCCTTCTCAAAGGGTATATATATGGTGGCTCAGTGGAGCTTTGACATTGTTCAGGAGCCCTGAACATTAATCATTCCACTCTGATTCAACTTGAAGGCAGCTGATTTTAGTCCTTTGATCATCAGAATGTTTGGCTGTTGCAGGTAAGGCTTCTCTTCTGGCGACACATGGGATCAGGGTTCCTGTCATTGAGTGTGGGATGCTACTGAGCTGAGGCATAAATGGTTCTGAAATCATTCCAGCTTTAATTAAGGAAGTTGGGAAGAAGTGCCTCCATCTGACTAAACTGTAGTTGCATGTTACATACTTGAGGAAACTCCCAGTCACCAAAACTCCCCCAATTCCTGACAAATCTGGAACTACACAACTCTAAAATTTCAAAGTCCTGGATCTTTGAGGAAAGTGACTACTCTTCACTACTCTTAACAACAGAACGTTGGCTTGGACGCTGTTCCTGCCTTCAGTGACAGGTGGTGACCTTGTCCAGCTGAAGGCTCTGCATTTCCTGGAAATGGTAAACATTTCCTTAAGTGTCAGATAAGGGGCTCATGATGGCCCTCTCTGAAGTTGATGGATTCCAGAACCTAAAACTCCTTCTCAGATGAATTTCTACCGGCAGTAGTAGTAGCATCTTCAGAAGCTTTAGAAACTCAGAACGAGAGTGAATGGTCTCACAAACCAAGTATAGGCTCAACTAGAAAGGATGGATTTACTGCAGCCGTTGGAGCCAAATACTCCTCCCACAGCTGAAGACTTCCCCTCTACCCCTCACATCTTCTTTGTGTGCCTAAAATGCCCGGACCCCAAACCCCCAGGTTCCTGGAAGTCCATGCCCCATGTCAGGAGAGAGGGTACCAAGGCTCTTCTGCAGAAAGTTCTCCACTCTCTAGTTCCCTTCAGTCCCAGCCCGAACCCATCCATCGAAGGGTGGAAGTGAAGACACAATATGACTCAGTTCCACTTCTCACCACCCTCGCTTACACACCCTGCATCCTTTTTTATCCTTTCCCTTCCTGCCCAATGGTTATCCCTCTGGGGTTCCTATTTTTCACAGGCATTTGAAACCATGAGAAGACCTAACTCATCATACACTGTGGTCAGGGAACAGGCTTTTGAGCCAGATAAATATGAGCCAGTAGTTCAACCAATTGCTTTCTGGGTTTTGTCAGGTCACGTGAATCCTGTATAAGTTGGTTTCCTAAAAGGAAAAGTGAGGATGATAATGGCAAACCTGTAGGGTCTTCTGAATAAATGGCAAGACTATAAGTGAATACCTGTCACCCAATATGTCATCAATATTGATCAGTGTCATCAATTTGGATCAATATTGGCAGATAGCTTCTTAGCCCATCTATGAGTTATCCATAGACTTTGTACAGAGCAGGGCTGGAAGATGTAACTAAGTTCAAGAGAATCCTTAGGCTTACAGTCTTGGAATGGACACCTCTGCTGGATTGGGAGTTCTGGGTTAGGGAGGAAATTGCTAATGGAGGTGAGAAACCACATTCTGTGGATCTGTTGGAAAGGGAATCCTACAGGGTAGTGGCCTCTGGCACTTGTGTAGTAGGTAACTGACTCTCTGAAACAAAGTCTTGATTTATAGCAATTGCTGATTTCCTTGTATACTGTGGCAGAATTCAAGCTAACAGGGGCTTACCATCCAGTTTACAAAACTCCTGAATATTTTATAAGCAACTCTTGGGAGCTAGTACGTGCCAAGTCAAACATAACTACCAGAGGCATTGAAGGGACTGTATTTAAAAAATTAGTAACTCTCCTTTGTTGCCCCAGGGTAGGAGTACAGTGGTGGAACTGAGAAAGGACAATCTCACTGGGTTCCTCCGGCTTACCTTTTAAGGAAGCCAATTAGGGTAGCTCCTTCTGCCTCTGAGTCAGTGACCTCTTGAGTGGACCCAGCTTTTTATAGTTGGGAGATCAACCCACTCCCTTATGAAAGCAGCCCCGTCACAGTGGTTCCATTTGCTTGAGAAGGGCTGAACTACAAAGCTCTTGTGTGCTGCTCAAGATCTCAGTGATGGTGAATGAAGTTCCATGATTCTACACAGTCAGGACCCAAGGGAAAACCCTGGTTGTGAATGACTTTCTTGCTGCAGTATTAGCATCATTCCTCTTTAGAGTTAGGTGGATCCAGCAGTGATTCAGTCTTGATGGCGTTCTGGGATACTGCCAAGGCAGAAGCCTCAAGGCAGATATCCAAAGTTGAAGTGGTCCAGCCTCTTCAACCCTTACGCGTTTCTGTAAGAAGATATTTTATCCTCAGTCACTAGGTGTGGAGGATGTAGGCTTTTTTGGACATATTCTATGTTCCACAGCTTGATGACTGGAAATTTCCCTAATACATAATGAAGGTGCTTGGGGATGGGTGGATGGTAGTCCAAATCAGACCTCTATTTTAACCATAAGTGAACGCTGTGGTCAGTTTAAATTCAGAAAAGAGAGGTTCCTGGATGGCTGGTCAAAGGAAGAATGATCCAGCTATTTCTGTCCTTAGTTACAAGTTATTTCTCTCAACAGCAGGAGGAAAATATCCTAAACCCAGACAGTGCCATTACCTAATCTCAAACAAAGAAAAGATGGACTCCAGTCCCATGCCAGAGCAGAAAGGGAATTTTTATACACTCCAAACTCCAGGACCTTTGAAAAGGAGGAACTGTCAGAGGGAAATGTAACACAAGTCCCAAATATGAAAAGAGCTTACTGGGACACTTGACACTTCAAAGCCTTTACAGTGCTGGCTTGGAAGCAGTTGCCTGGAAGTGAGGAGTTGAACGGACAGCTGACATTTCTTGGATAGTTGGCTTCTCTTTGCCTCCATTTACTGCATCTGTGAAGTAACAGTTGTACGAGGACCTCACTCTCATTTAAGTCCAAAGCTGCTGATTCTGTGGGACTTCCCCAAGGATGACATTCAGCACCATTTTTTACTGTCACGTGTCTGACACATGCTCTATGGCACCTTTGACACAGTTCCCTCATAATAACATGAGTCATAACATGTTAGTTATTTTGAGGCTGATTTAGAACATTTAAATTTCACAGAATTTTGCCTGGTGTCCCTTAAAGCTCCAGTTAAGATTTATTTATTGATAAGCTTCCCAAGGCATCAAATAAAGGTCAGTTGCCTCAGAATTTTTATTTAGTAAAGTGTATGTAGGTTGATGAGAAATGTAATAAATAATTGATCTAGTAATCCAACAGATTGATCCAAGTGACTTGAATTATCTGGAATATGTGAGGGTGGTTGCTCTTGATCTTAATACAATAGATCTTTTTGAACTCTTAAGGTATTACTGTAGCAGTAATATTGCCACGGTGACTTTTATTTATTGAAAATAAGATAACTGCAAGAACAAAATTCACATCGGGCGCCTGGGTGGCTCAGATGGTTAAGCGTCTGCCTTCAGCTCAGGTCATGATCCCAGGGTCCTGGGATCGAGTCCTGCGTCGGGCTCCCTGTTCCTTGGGAGCCTGCTTCTCCCTCTGCCTCTCTCTCTCTCTGTCTTTCATGAATAAATAAATAAAATCTTTAAAAAAAAAAAATTCACATCCACCTGATCTAACCAAGGAAATTTGCTTTTCATAGAAATAACAGCCACAAAGAACAGTATATCGATTTGTGTTTTTAAAACAATTTTACTAAAACCAGATTTAAAAGTTATAGTTTTATTGAGCTCTCTAGAGAATGTTCAAGCATTTATATTTACTTGTGTATAGAAAATGCTTTCTGGATGAAAAGTCATCACTGTGTAATAATAAATCCTTACTTAAATATTTCTGAATCTAAAAACAAAGCCCATAAACTTCCATGGTAAAACATTCAGGAGAATTTGCTCATGTTTATCCAGCCTTCCCTCTACAGCTATCCCAGACAGAACTGCACCATCATATGTACAGGGCAGCTCCACAGATTATGGGGATAGGAATCTCCAGTTATACTGTAGTAGGAAGGGGACTGTCTGCGCAAATGGACGGCAGAGAGTTCATCAGCCTGGCAGCAGCGCTAGGACAGCTCTGTAGATCCCAGGAAGACCTCTGACCTTAAGTCCATTCAGGTATTTCCTATAGAGGTTGACACTTAAATCAGTTTGCAAACCAAACCCAAGTCCACTGAATTGGAGGAGGGGAAAAGAAAACCTCACAAATTCTCAAAAGAGGGCCTGTCACCAGCTCAGAGGCAGGCTAGTCTACTAGGAGGCAAGAGCCCTGGATCCTGAGCCTGCACTCTGGAGGCCTTCATTGTTAAACTGCTGGGGTTGTAGCAGAGAAAGTAGTTCCATCCCTTTGGGTTTCAGTTAGAAGGGGAAAGTGTTGCTTCTGGTAGAAGGGTGAGCAAGAACAGTGCCACCAGAGCACTAAGGTCTGGCCCTGCATTGATCTATCTAAAACAAAGGGCTTTGTTAGATGGTAAATTACTGCTTTTTTTATATTCACTGAATCTCTCCGTATCCCCATACAATGTAAGGGGGCTCGAGTACAGTGATGAGCCAAGACAGGTGTTACCCTTGCTCCGCTAAGTTCACACAGCGCAGGGTAGCAGACAGTCAGGCTAGCCATTGCAGGGAGGTGTCCTAAGTGCCCTCCTGGGAAAATGGGGAGGTTTGGCACCCACATTAGACTAAATGTTCAGGGAAGGTGATCATATCCTTCAAAGGGGATATGATATGTAAACAGATCTTAAAGAGTAAGGCAGTTCAAGAATGCCAAGTTGGGGGTGGGAGGGAGGTTCTAGTAAAAGGGCTAAAGCCAGCTGGCACGTGGCCCATGAACGAGGCAGACATAAGGCATATGATGATTTCAGTGCAACCAGGGATGAGTGAGTGAGTATGAGGTGGTGGATCTGGCCATGTCTGATGGGAACCTGAGCCCATATTAAGAATGTCTTTAGCTTATAAGC